ATACACATATCTATATCTATATGTATATGAATATGAATCAAAATATAACACCGGAAATGTGATTTCCGGTTGCTAATTCGCCCTCACAGAGCAGCTCAGCTGCAGCGCCACAGCTGATGTGAAAAAAGACTGGGAGCGGGACTATGATAAGCTAATGTCACCCCTAATTGAGGAGAATGTTCCCTGCTATCTGTTGTATCGCATGGATACGAAGCTGCCTCTGGGCTATGGCTGGCTACTAATCAGTTGGATTCCAGACACTGCCAGCATTCGCCAAAAGATGGTCTACGCCTCAACGAAAGCAACACTCAAGACCGAATTCGGTTCGGCGTACATCGTGGAGGAGTTGCATGCCACGACTCTAGAGGAAACCACTCTGGAGGGTTACAAAAAGCATAAGCGTGAATTTGCTGCGCCGGCGCCGCTGACTATGCGCGAGGAAGAGATAAAGGAACTTCAGAAATCCGAAGTGCGCACTGAGATATCCACGGATACACGGCACCAGACGCTGGGCGGCATCTCCTGTCCACTGACGGACGCAACGCGGACAGCAGTGCAGGATATGTTGCGCGGCAACTACGACTACTTGCAGTTCCGCATTAGCCTGGAGGAAGAGCGCATTCATGTATCCAATGCAGCCAATGTGGAATTGAGCGATCTACCAAAGCAGGTGCCCGACGACCATGCGCGTTACCATCTATATCTGTTCAAGCACACCCACGAGGGCGACTATTTGGAGTCCTTTATATTCATATACTCTATGCCCGGATACTCTTGCTCTGTGCGCGAGCGCATGATGTACTCCAGCTGCAAGGCTCCGTTCCTTGAAGAGCTAGCCGCTTACGGCATAGAAATAGCCAAGAAGGTGAGCAAATCACGCTCAGTGCAAGGCGCTGATGGAAACTAATTTGATCTTTTTAAAATACAGCTGGAAATCGACAGCGGCAACGAACTCACCGAGCAATACCTGCAGGACGAGCTGCATCCCAAGAAGATATTGCATCGCCCAGCGTTTGCAAAGCCAAAGGGCCCACCGAACCGCGGAGCCAAGCGCCTAACGCGTCCCACCACCGAAGACGAAGTCTGAAACTTATCGAGTCATGTTCTTCACACGCATATTTATGTTTCTTGTTTTCCTCGCAAAGCATTTAATTTATTGCATTTCAATTCTGTGCTCCATCTTCACTGTATCTGAGTCATATCTGTATCTTTAGTTGCACTAGGCATCAACTGAACAACTGAAACGCATAGCAGCAGCCGACATGGGCTTCCTTAAACGTATTATCTATACGACATTTCGAGGACATTATTGCAATTTATTATTTAAATAAAAAATATCTAAATCTACATTGAGCCGCTTCACTTGACCGACTCCAATGTCACCGTCTCGCCAACACGCTTGTCGTGCGCGGTGAATAGCTCGGGCGCATCCTTTTTGGCCTCGTTCTTCAAGGCTTGATGTATGTCATCGTCTCGCTGCACCCGCCATTTGTACTGCCAGTAACGCACCTCTTCCATTGTGGTGCCCGAGGCCTTCATTAGCAGCAGCGATGCCGCACCGGCAACGCCGCCCATAAAGCCGCCAATGATGCCTCCAGCTGCCATGCCACGCAGACCCAAATTGAGTTTATAGAGCGCGCCAGTTATTGAGCCCGCTGCTAGGTACTCGTAAATTGACGACTTGCCCCGGTAAACGGATATACCGGTTATGATGCCGCTGGTGGAAGAGCCAACTTGTTAGGAATCATGTAGCCCAAGTTATTATTTATAAAGACTTACAAGTAGGAGGTGGTAAACAGGCCGACGCGCCAGCCCCATTTGAAGCCGCCTTTTGCGAAATTCACCGTAAACTGATCCTGCAGCTTTTTCTGCAAGTTTCATTGAAAAGTGTACTCATTGAATTCACTGCATGAGCTGTGTTATCTTACCTTGGCATCAAAATGTGATTTGAACGCTGTCGCTTGATTATTCTCCATGAAGTTCATGTAGCTGACTCGTGATTGTGTAACACCGCCATAGAGGGCTCCAACGAGGAAGCCGAAGAAGCCCACTTGGTATATGGAGTTGAGTTCTGATGATATGCTGCCGAATTCACTGTAATATGAGTTATTGTTATTTCAATTCTCTTCACATCGTTTCAGTTGCTTTAATTACTCCACGGTAAACATTTGCTTGAGCCGCTCCAGGCCAGTTTCATCGTCTCTCCTATTAGCTAAGAAAGATTTGTATGTTTTGCTCTCTTTGTCGACAACATCGTTAGCGCTGCGGTCAATGCCCGGCAGAATGCCGGCAATCAGAAACCGGCCACCTTTCCTTAAAAAACTCATGTGAAGTCCAGCGTTAAATAACAAAAAAGTACAAGAAAAACATGCAACGGTACAAACAGCTGTTCCCGGCTGATAGCGATGAGCACGCGATATCGTAAAGTCTGTCGTAAACAGACCATGAAATGTATGAGGAGGATACCCTATGTAAAAAACATTAGAAAGCAGATTGGCTTAGCAAACATTAAAGGCGGAATATCATTCACGATTCTTAAATCTAAAATCAACAATTATTCTTCATCTTTGAGCTACTATCTACAATAATGTATTTACATATTG